TAAACTGCCAAATGCCCGGCCTGGGCAGGGGTCTGGCTGGGAGCAGCGTTGTGTGGCCATGCAGGGCTCGGGGTGGTGACCATGAAGTGTCACTGGCATCCCTCCCATGGGGTCACCATGTGGGGCACGTTGGCTTTGTACATTAGTGGATTTTCATTAAGCTTGTTTTACACTCCACTGGTGGCTTCAGTGTGGTTTATTTCTCCAGCAATTCAAGGAAGCCACAGCGCTGCACTGTGAGGAATCTGAGGCCATCCCTGATCAAGAGGATGCAGAAAGTGCCTTTCAAGGACTGCAGTGGTTGGGTTTGCCTCAGTGCCCCGTGCTGATAATGCCAAGGGTGTGGGTTTGATCCCCATATGGACCATTCACTTCAGAGATGGACTCAGTGATCTTTGTGGATCCTTTCCAACTCAAAATATTCTGTGAAATCTGTGCAATCAAGTAACATTGAGGTTAAGGGATTCAGTCAGGAGCAGTGTTTCCATCAGCTGTGGAATGAAGGCAGGTCTGTTTGTTTTTTGCACTTTTGGGACACACCTACCCCTGGATACCCCATCGGGATAAATCCACCTCTGTTCACACCTTCATGGTGACAGCACAGGGAGATCAAGGCTCTGAGAGTGGGGACTCTCCATATCTGATCTCCTCTGTGTGTCACAGGGCACAGTCAGCTGCCTGGGCATCGTGTCAGAATCCAGCTGAAGCTGTTCCTGCTGACTGGACCTGGGAAAGTCACTCTGAGTCTGGCTGGCTCCTCTAAACTGGTTTCAAGCTCACATGTCCAGTGCCAGCCCATCCCTGATTCATGGGCCTGGGAGCCTCTCTGTGCACCCCAGGCCCTCACCTGGCATAAAGGGTGTGACAAAGGACCATGTTTTGTGGCACTGCAGAGTTAGCAAAAAGTCCAGGAGAGGGATTGATTGTTTGGCAGTCTCAGGGCCACACCTGGGCTCCTTCATCTTCTGGGGCTCCCAGTATCACACTCCTGGACAAACTGGAGCAGGTCCAGCAGGACAAGGAGGTTACCCTGAGGCTGGGGCTGGAGCATCCAAGGTGAGGGCAGCTGAGGGCTGGGTCTGATCAGCCTGGAGAGGAGGAGGCTGAGGGGCATCGAGGGGGAGAACAGTGGCAACATCCACAAGGCACAACCAGCAAAATCCCAGTGCAATGTGAGGGAAAGTTTCTGCCCCTAAGAGCAAGGCAGCTGGGGGCTGCTGCTCAGAGCCTGTGGGAGCCCCATCCATGGGGATCAGACTCACTAGGTCTCATCTGGACACAGTCCTGAGCAAAATGATCTGATTTTGAAATTAGTCTGCCAGCCCGTGGCACCAGAAACCTTCAGAGGTCACTTCCGAGCTGGGTCTTGCTGTGGTTTCATTGCTGTGCACTCCCCTGGTGTCCTGATAAGAGCAGCAGTTACTGAGGACATGCACTGGGGAGGTTCCTGCTCTTCCAGAGCCCTCCCTTGCCCCAGGTGCAGGAAAGGCTCTGAGGTTGCTGTAGTCATTCATCTCCCCTGCCTCCTCCCACCATGCAGCACATTTTCCTCATTAAGCTCCTTCCATGAGCCCCACCTCATCCATTTGGGTCTTTTGCTGAGCCAAAGGAGAGCAGGTTCACCAGGTACCAGCAGCACATGAGTCACACACTGTGCTGTAGCTGTTGTCTGGTACATCTCCCTCAGGAGAGGCAGGAGATGCCCTGGAGAGGTCCTGTACTCACAGGCTGGGGTGCAGTGCATGGAACTGGAAGAAGAACATCCCAGAGACCTCACTCCTACCAGGAGGAACCTGGAGCTGAGGAGCTTCTCCAGCTGCAAGGCCACTGAACCTGTGCCTGAATCATGGGATGTTGCCACATCCTGGTGTTGTGGTGGGACAGCCCTGGCTGTACATGGCCCCTGTCCTGGAAAAGCCCAGTGTGTAAATATGGGATCAGCTCCCAGAGCAGCTGGCACAGACACTGTGGGCTGTGTGCTTCCCTCAGTCCAGTGCCATCCCTGCCACAGGGCATCCGCAGCACAGTCACATCTTCCTCCTGAGCCTGGTCTCCAGAGACAGAGATGTTTGTCTTGAAAATTGCAGATGTCCTACAGAATCTGTTTGAACAAGGAAGCAGTGAGCTCTGGCAAGAGCTGACAGGCTCCAGAAACATTACCTGTGTTTTATCTTCACACAGCGTGAGAAACTCTTCCCAGGAGTTTGGAAAGATGTGGCCTGAAGCAGTGGGATGGGGGTGTCAAGGTGGGAGGGGAGCAGTGCCACGGAGTGAGGGGAGGGCTGAGGTGACACAGAGGGTTTCAGACTGTTGGGTAATGGGGCTTTGCTCAAGCAGAAATGGATGGAAGGAGTGGCCTCAGGATCTGTTGGAATCATGGTGTGGTTTGGGTTGGAAGGGCCTTTAAAGATTATCTCATCCCCTGCCATGGGCAGGGACACCTTCCACCAGACCAGGTTGCTCCAAGGCCCATCCAGCCTGGCCTGGGACACTTCCAGGGATGAAGTTCTCTGCTGTCCTTCTAGTTTTGTTCTCCTGGACAAAACTGGAGCTCAACAACACTGCTGAGGCTAATCCACATCACACCTTCCTTCAGGAGTGGGGTAGCCTAGGCAGGTGAAGGAAAGTGGTGCAGCAGTGTGGCGCAGGTCTTGTGTTTGCCAAACCCAGCCCCTTGGCACCCAGACATTGAGCATCCTGGGAACTGTGGTGCTGAGTCAGAAAAGCAGCAGGGAAGAGGCAGACGGTGGACCAGAAAAATGGCTTTTGTTGGTGTGTTTTAGAGGAGTTGCTCAGTGGTAATTTATTGTGATGTGCAGGAACATGCTGGGGCCATGCTTGTCCAAGCCCCGTGGTCCTGCCACTGCAACCCCAGCTGGCACAGCTCCTGTCACTGCCCCTGATGCCAACGGGAGCCAGCCTAGAGATGGGTGAGAGGTGCCTTCCTCTGGGTGCTGCTCCTCCAGGCTGTTTCTCAGAGCTGCCAAATGAGTTGTTCTTCTGTGAAATATTGTAAGGGTTGGACTTGGGAAAAGCCCATCTGAGTGCAAACCACTCTGCATCCATTTGGCCTGGCATGCAAGTGATGGGAAAACTTTCATGCTACCACTCTCCAATCCTCTCCTAGCCCTGAGGCTTCTCCTGTGCCCTGCAGCTGCTGCAGTGGTGAGCCTGTGCTGGCAGCTGTGCCAGGGCTAACGCTGACTGCACTCGAGCCTCTCTCCAGGGCTGGGCTGGCACTAGGGCAGGTCTGGGGTAGCCCTGCACTGAGGAGGATGTGCTGGCAGTGCCAGCAGCAGGCAGGGCACGGGGAGGGCTCCTCTCACCGCTCTGGGATGGGGGAGAGGAGCCAGCACAGGCAGCTGTGGGTGTCAGCCCTGCAGCAGGGGTGGGGGTGTTGGCTGCTCTGCTGTCAGCACCTGGAATCAGAGAATATCCCCACAGGGGTCATCGAGTCCCGCTCCTGGCCCTGCACAGACACCCCAACAATCCCACTTGTGCATCCCTGAGAGTGTTGTCTGAGCACTACTGGAGCTCTGGCAGCCTCAGGGCCGTGCCCATGCCCTGGGGAGCCTGGGCAGTGCCTGCACCCTCTTGGCGGAAGAACCTTGCCCTGATCTCCAGCCTAAACCCCCCTGGCAGAGCTCCAGCCGTTCCCTGGGAGCTGTCCCTGCTCACAAAGCAGAGATGGGAGCTGCCCTCAGGAGAAGCTGCAGGCTCCGAGGAGTTTCCTGCCCCTCAGGACTGAGGCAGCCCGGGCTGTTGGCTCACCCTGCTCCCCAGCCCGCCGGGCCAGGGCCGATCAGGCTTTCCCAGGGCGGCCGCAGCTCCCTGCTCCGGTCCCTTCCCTGTGGGTCTGCCAGCCCCGCTCCGGTCCCTGCCCGTGGGGCTACCAGCCCAGCTCCCCGCTCCGGTCCCTTCCCTGTGGGCTGCCAGCCCAGCTCCCCGCTCCGGTCCCTGCCCATGGGGCTGCCAGCCCAGCTCCGGTCCCTGCCCGTGGGCCTGCCAGCCCAGCTCTCCGCTCCGGTCCCTTCCCTGTGGGGCTGCCAGACCAGCTCCGGTCCCTTTTCTGTGGGGCTGCCAGCCTAGCTCCCCGCTCCAGTCCCTGCCCGTGGGGCTGCCAGCCCAGCTCCCCGCTCCGGTCCCTGCCCGTGGGGCTGCCAGCCCAGCTCCGGTCCCTGCCTATGGGGCTGCCCAGCCCAGCTCCCCGGGCGGCTTTCCCGGCCGAAGGTCCCGGTAGCGGGAGCGGCCCGGGTGTGTGAGGGCCGGCAGGGAGAGCGGCCCGGGTGTGTGAGGGCCGGCGGGGAGAGCGGCCCGGGTGTGTGAGGGCCGGCGGGGAGAGCGGCCCGGGTGTGTGAGGGCCGGCAGCGGGAGCGGCCCGGGTGTGTGAGGGCCGGCGGGGAGAGCGGCCCGGGTGTGTGAGGGCCGGCGGGGAGAGCGGCCCGGGTGTGTGAGGGCCGGCGGGGCCCTTCGTGCTCGCTGCGAGGAGCGGGGCCGGGCCGGGCTGCTCTCCATTGTCAGCGTGTCAGGTCAGCTTTGTGCTGCCTGCTCAGCGCTGGATGCGCCTCCCGTGATTGGCATGTGCAGCGTGCAGCCCCAGCCGGCCCGAGCCTTGGGAAGCTGCTCTGAGCGAATGGAAACGTAAAAACCACCCATATCCCCATGGCAGGCAGCGAGGAGTGCATGCTGTGGGGCTGGTGGGGCTCTTTGCGGTAGAACAGTGTTGTGCCTGCTCCAACCTGGGCTCCTTTTGCCACTTTCCTGCTTGAGGCACTGTCCTACATGTTTTCTAACTACCAGTTCAGCAGAACCATTTTTTTCCTCCCCTCACTCCTCTCTACAAACAGCAAAATCCAGGATCCCCTGACCTCTGCACAGCTCTCCCAGTGCAGGAGATGAATTCCAAAGCTCCAAACAACAATAACTGTCCTGCCCACCTCCTGCAGGGTGAGGGTCCTACCTGTGCAGGTGTCTGACTGTCCCTCGTCTCTCTCTTGCAGCCCCTTCTGCCGTGTCCATCATGCACCAGGTGAGCCGCACCGTGGACAGCATCACCCTGTCCTGGTCCCAGCCCGACCAGCCCAACGGAGTCATCCTGGACTATGAGCTGCAGTACTACGAGAAGGTACTGAGGGACCTGCATGGGGGTCACCCACAGCTTTTGGGGAGAGGAGGGGTGCAGACTTTATTTAAGGGCGTACAGTGGTTGTTAAGTAGGAAACTTCTCTTGCTGCATTTGGTCACATGGGTGACAGTGGCCATCAATCCTTGGGGTCCAGTGATGGTTCTGGTGGCCCAATTGTAGAAAATCCACTGGTCATTCAGGAGCTTCTCCTGTCACCTCCACAGAACTGGTGGCAAGTGGACCCATTGCAGGGAGAGCAGGGTAGCCAGGGTCCAGGGTCTATTTTTTCCTTTTTGTGTACTGTGGCATCAGAAGGAAATGGGAATGACAGGGAAGATCCAGTCCCAGGCTGGAGCACACTCAGTGGGTGTCCGGTCCTGGAGATTTTCTGGAGCGCTGTCCATGGGTGCACCTACCCCAAAGGTGAGTTCGGCATCCCTTCAGCATCCTGAGCCCAGATGTTGTACAGGGAGAAGGTGTCCCATGCTCCCATGGAGGGCTCGTGCTGCACTATGGAGTCAGTGTGAAGGGCTCAGGCAGCTCTGGCCCTGTCATCCCTGAGGAACCTGCTCCTTCCATAAGCTCCCTGTCCAGGCAGACAGAGGAATTTCTTCTGGACTGTGCCAGGGTGTCCATCCCACCAGTGGCTACTCAGACACCTGAGGACCATGTGGAGGTTGGTCCCAGGACCTGCCAGGCTGAACTTCATCTGTGCAGCCCAGGGGAGATGGGGAGCAAGAGACTTCTCCTTCCAGGAATCTGCCCCCTTGCACAAGAGCTTATAAACTATACATTATAAATTGCAAACTAACTAATTAAAAAGCTTTATGATTAAATGGAACTGAAAATATTTTTCCCAGCAGTTGCCGGAAGAAATGATTAATCCCCCCCACTGCCTGCCTGTGACCTATTTTCTCATCACCAAGAGCCAGAGGGAGAATGGGGAGGAGGGGGGGCTCCTTTGTAAGCTGTTAAATAGGTCCTGACCTATATTGCATAAATCACAGCCATTTATTTTGACCCTTGGAAATTATCCCAGAATACGTGGCAGGATGGATGAGTAGATAACAAGACAGATCTGGGAAGCAAGAGGGGTCCTTTCCCTGGGGACCTTCAATGTAGAGGCAGAAGATCTCAGGGAGTACCTTCTCCTCCTCTTACTTTATCTTAATCTCTCACTCTCTTTCTTTCTTCCCTCTCCTCTGTTTTCTGAGGGAGGCTGTAAATAAAGGGAATTTTTGTCTAAAAAACAGTGATGCTGGTGGCCAATCTTTGCAGGCAGCCACATCTGCCTGTCCCATTGTCAGAGTCAGGGCACAGCCTGTCCCTGATGATGGGGACAAGTGGCCCCACTCTCAGGCAGGGCTGTTCATGGAGCACTAAGCCTGGCACAGAGGGCACAGCTGGGCTCAGGTTCTCCCTGTCCTGGTTTCAGAGAACCATGGAAGCATCCCAGAATGGTTTGGGTTGGGAGGGACCTTACAGCTCATCCAGTGCCTCCCCCTGCCATGGGCAGGGACACCTTCCACCCATCCTGGCCTTGGGCACTGCTAGGGATCCAGGGGCAGCCACAGCTTCTCTGGGCACCCTGTGCCAGGGCTTTGGCCCTGCTGTGCTCCTCTCCTGTTTCCCATCAATCCAGCAGTTGGATGTGGTGTGTGACACATTTCAGGTGTGTTCTCACTGCACTGCCAGTCTGTGCAGAGGTGATTTCCTTACAAATATTTCATTCCAAACTGTCCCATGTGCTTCTGAATGCTCAGCAAAGATCTCTGGAGCTGGTTAAGTTTTTTCTGGTTGAATTTTTTTTCCCCGAGTAGAAAATTATATTTTATTTTCATGCAAACATCTCAAATGAGGAATAGCACCATACACATTGTGTATAAAAAGCACCTTGACTCTTCATTTTTAATGGATTCTCTTCTATATACAGACTTTAAATTAAAAAAATAGAAGAATTTATTTAGTGCTGACAGAAAAGCGCTGTTCACAATACCTGAAACAAAGGTGTATTTTTGTTTCCCTTCCACAGATTATTTATGACACTGCTATTCTTAGATGCCATTAAAAATGCCTGTACAAAGGCAACATTATGAGTTTCTTTCACGTGGAGTTGGAGCAAATCTGTGCAGATTGTTGCACAAACACTGCCTGATGTGGCTGCTCTCTGTAGCCCTCACTTTAATGTGTTGTTTTTTCACTTCCAAGAGGTACCTGCCAGTGTTTGTCTTACTTAAAAAGTCTGTGTTGTCTTCATTTAGAAAAGGTGTAGCAGTTTTTATCCAAAGTTGCCAAACTCATCCTGGAGTGTGGGAACTGGAGACCCACTGCAGTGTCAGACACAGCAAAGAGCAATTAGCCCTCCTCATTACACAAAATGATTGGGTTTGATGATGCTCAAAGTCATCCATTCTCTAATTGTTTGAAGACATTCAGCCCAATTTGGTCACCAGTGCAAGACTTTAGAGGCAAAGGAGCCCTTTGATGTCTCCAGCCAGGGCTGGAGTAGGGGCATGGGCTGGCTGGGACATGAAGGGTGGGGGAGAGGACCTGTGAAGGTGGATGTGGAAGTGGAGGTAGAAGCAGAGCTCTCCTGGCCAGAGCCCAGCAGCGCAGGACAGGATGTCCCCAGGGCTTGGCCCACGGATGCTGGAGGTGCTGCTGCCAGGCTGACTCAGGGCACATCCCTGCCCATGTCAGGGGGTTGGAAAAGGATGGTCTGTAAGGTCCCTTCCAACCCAATCCTGGGCTTCTGTGATTGTCTGACTTCAGAGTCTGTCCTGCAGTGCAGGACACCACAATCCCCGAGCCTGGAGCCAAAGCTGCTGCCTGGTGTTTCTCATCTCTCCTGAAGTGGGGCTGCCCCTTCAGCCAGTGCTGCCCAAACCCTTGGAGGGGCGTCTGTCCCAGGAAAACTGGGAGTTCAAGGACATAGAGAGGAAACCCTGCCAGGGAGCCCTGGCATAGCCTGCCTGCAGTCCCAGTCCCTGCCCAGGGCCACACTGGGACTGGGCACTGTCCAGGACTGGGTTGGGACAGGCATTCAAACACCCAGAGGAAAATTAAAGTTGGAAAAGCCCTCCAAGATCAGTCAGCCCAACCTTCACCAAGCTACATTGCCGAGTGCAGCATCTCATTTTTTGAGCACTTCCAGGCATGGGGACTCCACCACTGCCCTGGGCAGCCTGTGCCAATGCCTGAAAACCCTTTTAATGAAGAAATGTTTCCTCATATCTAGCTTGCACTTCCCTTGGCACAACTTGAGGCCATTTCTTCTTGTCCCACTTGATGGGATACCTGGCTGGGGGCACAAATCTTCTTGGGCTGCCCCCACAAGGGGTGGATCCTTATGAGAGTCCAGGTGCTGGGGATGCCAGGGTGGCTGCAGGGCCCTGCTCCCACACGTGGGCATCCCAAAATGCAGCTGTGTGATGGTTTGGCACCAGACCCTGGTGTCCTGCTGTGTTTGCCCCCAGGGCCATGGCAGATGTCACTGTGCAGGCTCATAGAAACTCTGCCAAATTCTGTCAGTTGACATTTTTTTCTTGGCTTTTTCACTTTCAATTTTTTTTTTAAATGCAACTTTTTAGAAGCAGTTTTTGTAAATCCTTTGGGTGTCTCTCAGCCTACCCATGTTTCAAGAGACTCTTTCTTTGTTGATCAGACTTTGGTTTTAGCTTCAGTTTGACTCGTGGGAGGGAGAATCAGATAAAGACTCAAAATCAAACCAGTGTGTTATTTTGAATTAGAATGTCCAAACTCAAAAGAAAATCAGCAGGGGAAAAGCCCCCAAACACCACAAAGCTCTGCTTGGACTTGGGCTTTGAATCACCTGGGATGCAGTTGTCTAGAGGAGCCCAGAGAGGTGAAAGGGGAGAAGTGTTTGAGGTGAATGTGCAGGTTCTGGAGAGGTGATGCCAAGGAGGACGAACAGGTTTGATAAGGGAGGGTGGAGAGGTGTAAATGGTATTTCCTTGTGGTCTGGGTTTAGAGGAGAGCACATCACAAGCACACCTTCCTCAGCCAGGCAGACATCAATTTCCCAGGCTATCAACCACCTTGTAGGCTTGGCCATTACATTCCATTTAAAGTCCTCCAGGAGCAGGGATAAGGTTCTCCAAAAGAGTTGGACAAATGATTTTTAAACAACTATGTTGTTAGTGCCCTCCAAGGGCCTGGGAGGATTCATCCAAGCCCTTGAGCTCTAAAACTGTAAACATTTCCTGACCTATTTCTCTCCTCAACTGCCTGGGAAAGGTCCAAGGGAGTGCTGAGCCTGATCAGACAAACGAGGCCATGGGTTTTCTGTGTGCTCATCTTTCCTTGGGGTGTGTGTATCTGTACTTGAGCTTTTCACTGCCATCAGTCCAATTACCAGAGACCCCAGTGACAATCAGGAACCTTCAGCACCAAGTCCAGATGTATAAAACAGATACTGTAGTTTTTAGAAGGGAAAAGCGTTCCTGAACAGTGTTAATAGTGGAGATCTCCCAGGTGTTTCACAGAATCATAGGATGGTTGGGCTGGAAGGGACTCAAAGCCCATCTCATTCCACCCCTGCCATGGCAGGGACACCTTCCATAGCCCAGGGTGCTCCCAACCCCATCCAGCCTGGCCTTGGACACTGCCAGGGAATCAGGGGCAGCCACAGCTGCTCTGGGCACCCTGTGCCAGAGCCTCATCACAGAGAGAAATTTCTCCCCAATATCTCATCTAGCCCTGCTCTCTTTCAGCCTAAAGCCATTCCCCCTTGTCATATTCCTCCATGCCCCTACATGTAACACAGAGCTCCCCTGCACTCCCTGCAGAGGGATTTGCCATCAGCATCTCCACTCCTTGGGTTTGGCCACACACTTGAAGAAACACATTCCTGACAGGCCCCTCTCTTACCACCAACCACACCAGAGCGCTGCCCAACCAACAGCTTGAGACACAAAATTCACTCCATTCAAGGCCAGCTTGGATGGTGTGGGGAGGCCCTGGCACAGGCTGCCCAGAGAAGCTGTGGTTGCCCCTGGATCCCTGGAAGTGTCCGAGACCAGGTGGGACACTTTGTCTAGTGGGAGGTGTCCCTGTCTGTGGCAGGGGGTGGAACTGGATGAGCTTTAAGGTCCCCTTCCAACTGAAGCTGTTCCATGATTCTATGACCACAAGATCCCTGACAGGAAGGTACAGCCAGGGGGTTGTCAGTCTCTTCCTCTGGGGAAAAAGCAACAGGACAAGAGGACATAGTCTCAAGGTGTGCCAGGGGAGGTTCAGGTTGGACAGCAGGAAGAATTTCTTCATGGAAAGGGTGCTCAGACATTAGAAGGGGCTGCCCAAGGAGGTTGTGGAGCCCCCACCCCAGAAGTGTTCAGGAAATACTGGACATGGCACTCAGTGCTCTGGGCTGGTGACAGGTGAGCATCAGTCAGGGTTGGACTTGATGATTTTGAAGGAATTTTCTGACCTTAATGATTCTGTGGGATCTTCCTTCTGCCTGATTGCCCCTTCATTACCCTCTGTCCATCAGCACTTTATTGCAGAGGTTGGTTAGAGGTGCTTTCTCTTTTCTGCGAGTTTCACACTGATCTCTTGTTCCCATGGGAAAAGCAGAACTGTCTCCATGCATCCATCTCCATGTCATTTCAGAGCTGGGACAGAGGTCAGTCCCTTGGTCACACCCTCAGTCACACTTACAGAGTTCCCCAAACCTCATGTCAGTCTCACTTTCTGCCAGTCCCTGTCAGAGTCTCACAAGGTGACCCCTCCTCACTGAGGGTACAGGGGTGTCCTGTGCAGTGACTTGAAGTCAGGGACTCTCTGGGAACTTGCCAGCTCAGATTTTGAGCTGCCAGTCCTGTATTGCATCTGGTGATCTGCCAGGGCAGCCAGGATGGGTGAGCACCTTCAGTGTCACTACAGCCACTGGATTCCAAAATCTGTGCCTGCACCTCCTTTTCTCAGTGCTTGCTCGCAGCTGGGCTTTCCTAAGAGCTCTTTGTTTTCCAGAAGCATTGTGCTGTTGGCATTGCTGTTTTGCTCTGACTTTTGGGACTTCATGGCAGCCAGGCTCCCAGCCACTGTCTCTGGCCATGTTCAGGACCCTCTGTCATCATCCTCTGTTGACTCCATGTCCTTGGGGGACAGAGACTACCTGTTCTCTTGTATGTGGAAATCCTGTCCATCCAGTCCTCATCTAGAAAACTGGGGACAAGGGGCAGAACAAAAGTTTGGATATAGTCTCATTATCACTTTGAAATGTGCTCTTGGGGTCCCCAGCCTTGGAAACTTCACCATGGCCCCTGGAGAAGCAGGCTCTGGGCAGTGGGGTGCCAGCAGAACTTCTCTTGAGGTCCAAAACCCAGAGTTCAGGTGGGCTTTACCTCCTGGCAAAGGGAAGTGGGAGTTGGGGAAGAGCAGGTGGACTGTGCTGAGGCTGGATAAGGCACAGCAGGACAGGGTGGGGGGAGGAGGAAAGTGCTAAGAGAAAAGCACAGAAGCGGGAAGAAGTTCCCACCTTCCCATCTCCATTGACCTCAAGGCTTAGAGAAGCAACGTGAGTTTTGTAGCTACTGTCTTCTCTAGAGCCTTTCCTGGGAGTGGTGAATAGCTCAGGGATATCCATACTCACATCCCTGAGTCTGTGTCTCCCTGCCAGGAGGAAGGACCTCTTTGTTCAGACCTTGGTGGTCTCTCCACCCTGGTCTCCTGCCCTTCCTCCTTCCCGAAGCACAATGCCTGATTCTGGACTGATTTTTCTGATGATGGATTTGTTTTTTCTTGGCAGGATCTGAGTGAGTTGAACTCGACCACAGTGAAGAGCCCCACCAACACTGTGGCAGTGCAGAACCTCAAGGCTGGCACCATCTACGTGTTCCAGGTGCGGGCGCGCACCGTGGCCGGCTACGGCCGCTACAGTGGGAAGATGTATTTCCAAACCATGACTGAAGGTGAGTCTGCAGCTGCTCTGTAAAGGTGACTCAGGGTCTAGAGAGATGTGGAGATAGACAAGCAGCCAGTCCCCTTGCTGTCAGTCCCTTCAAGGGTGTGTTGAGAAACCACATTCAAGACCCAGAGAGAGGCCTGGTGCTTGTTCCATGCAGTGAAGGCCCCAATTTCTGCCCAGCCTTTCTGTTGTGGGGATGTGTCTGCTCAGCTGGATGTAGACAAAGCAAAATTTATGTTTTCTACCTGCACAGCTGCTGATGACAAACGTAGGGCCATGTCTTACTTTTCTAAATTTGTGCTACTAAATAAAACAGACCAAGCCAGTTTTCAGGCCCTGGGGCCAAGGACAAGGCACAGCACACATCCACAGCACTAAACCTTCCTCCCAAAAGGAATAGCTCCATCCACCCTTCCTTCTGGGACACATCCCCCAGCCAGAGGGGAGTCCTGGCTGTCCAAGACCAAAGCCATACCAGGAATCAAACATGGCCCGTGCTCAGGTCTCTGACCTCAATGACCTTGTGGGGGATGGCACATCCCATGCCACAGTAACCTGTTCCCTTTCCCCTGTGCCAGCCGAGTACCAGACCAGCGTGCAGGAGAAGCTGCCACTCATCATCGGCTCCTCGGCGGCGGGGCTGGTGTTCCTCATCGCCGTGGTGGTCATCGGCATCGTGTGCAGCAGGTAGGGCAGCCTGAGGCACCCGGGGCGGGGCACTGGGGACAGGGGACGGCAGGGAGGGGACACAGGTGTCCCCACAGCGCAGCCCCAGCCCCGAGGGGCCCATGCTGTGCTCAGGTCTCCCTTCCCTTCCAGAAGACGGGGCTTCGAGCGGGCTGACTCGGAGTACACGGACAAGCTGCAGCACTACACCAGTGGCCACAGTACGTACCGGGGGCCCCCCCCGGCCCTGGGGGGCCGCTCGCTGCTCGGTTCGTGCTCCTGTTCACTCGGGGCTTGGGGAGGGCTCTGGGCAGGGTGGGCATGTGTGTGTGGGCAGGGCAGCTCCAGATTCCCCCTGCCCTGCTCTCAGCCCTGTCAGGTGCCTGAGCGTGTCCTCCGTACCTCGGTGACAACCAACACCCCCTGAAGCATCACTGTCTTCTGTGCTGCAGTGTCTGCCACCACAGCATGTCTTGCTCCTCCAGCTCCTGAGCTTTGCCCATCTCCTGGGCAGCAGTGACACCCCTCCCTGACCTGTCCCTGTCCCCCTTTGCCAGAGCCCATCCCAGTGCTCCCAGATTCCCAGTAGATATGAGATATATCTATGTTTAGGTATATAATACAATATCTAACATGCCCTGTCTTGTAGCCTCCCTCTTCCAATATCCCTGTGCAAGGCACTCCCTCACATCCAGCATTCCTGCTCAGCCTCATTGCACACCCTGCCTCACCCCAGTGCATCCTTCTTCCCCCATCCCTGGAAGTGTCCAGGGTCAGGTTGGACAGGGCTTGGAGCAACCTGGGATAGTGGCAGGTGTCCCTGCCCATGGCAGGGGGTGGAATGAGATAAGGTCATTTAAGATTCCTTTTAACCCAAACCATTGCATGATTCTATGATTAACCCCTCCCTTCATGTCCCTGAAATTCCTTTCTCCCCCCTCACTGAAGACCTGTTGTTCTAATCTTGCTTTATTCCAATCTCAGTTGTGATTTTCCTCGTGTTCTACTTGCAGCTTCAGGATTTCTACCCTTTTAATACCTTATTCCTGTACAAATCCAGGCCTTGCTCGGAGCATGGAAAGCACCAGCAGTGTTTCCACTCAGGACTCGCTGTTGCTCCTGCTTTTACCTGGGAAACATGTCCCAAAAGGCAGAGCTGCAGCCCTGTGCCCCAGCAGCCTGTGCTGGCTGCCTCACTATCACTTACCAGGAAAAACGACACTTTTCAGGAGACATTATGTAAATGCAGCTCTCAGTTGTTTGTCAGTCTGGGCTGCAAACACACATTCACACGTTCTCCCGGGGCCTGGTGTGGGATGTGACAGCTCCAGGCTGGGATGGGTTTAATCACTGTGCCTGCACCAGTTGGAACAGGCCTGGTGCCACGGGATGCAGCAGAGCTGATACAGCCTGGCTGCCTTTTAGCCCCTTCCTCACCCAGCACACCTGGCCAGGGCTCAGTCCCTGCTCAGTCCCCAGCAGTGATATCTGTGCAGACACTGCAGCGAATTGCCAAGGCCCAGGGAGCCTGTGAGCCCTGCAGAATCCCCTGAATACAACCAGCATCCTGGAGCTGGAGTCAGTCTGGGGGCTCTGTGCTCTGTGGGGCTCCTTATTTAGGGAGCTGTGAGCTCTGCTCTCCAAATAGCCCATGTTGGAGTGAGCCAGGGGCCAGAAGATGAGTACACAAAGAGGAGAAGCACAGGTGAGGGCTGTCCCACAGTGCAGGTGGCTGGGATGTGGCAGCAGCAGTCCAGCCTCACCAGGTCCCATGGCGTGTCACTGTGTCCCCTGCTGGGCCTAGCAAGAGGAACCTGTCTTTTGTGATTTTCCTAGGGTGTCCCACTTCGTCTCTTGGGGCTCCCAGGAGGGAACCCAGCCTTGGGCTGGGGTGCCAGTCAGGAGAACAGGGTAGACTGGACTGTCCCTCCTGCTTGCACAGCTCCTGGAAGGGTCACAGATCCCCATGGAGGAGTCTGGAGTTTGTAGTCCAGCCTCATGATATAGCTCCTTACTGCTCCAACAATGACCCGTGGGCCAGTGTTCATGAAAATCAGTTTTAGCAGTCTTGTGAAACATGGCTCTGCATGTTCCTTCTCAAACTGTTTCTCTCTGTCTGCTTCGTGCCTTGTTTATGCAACTTGCTGAGGTAAAAGACTGTCACTCAAACTGTTTTCTCTTTGCCTTGATGCCAACCATTCCAGTTGCATCCATCTGTGTGACTCTCTCCCTCACCTTTCTGCAGTGACTCCAGGAATGAAGATTTATATTGATCCTTTCACCTATGAAGATCCCAATGAGGCTGTCAGGGAATTTGCAAAAGAAATCGATATCTCTTGTGTCAAAATCGAGCAGGTGATTGGGGCAGGTAGGTGACCTGGGAATGGCTGGCTGGCCCTCAGCAGCACAGCAGCACATGGATTTGGGAGGGTTTAGCCTGATGCCACTAGGACTGATGCCACTAAGACCTTACTTACCCCCAGGCTGCACTAAAAGAGCAAGGGAGTCCAGTGCAGGAGAATCAAGACCATCAATTCCCATGTGCATATGAGCCCACAGGCAGTGCTCCTCATGGATGAGTGCAGCTGGAGGGGTGGAGAGGGAGGGAATGTGGGTCAGGGAATGGGTGCTCAGCTCAGGGGCAGGGATGGGTGCTCATCTCAGGGACAGGAGTGGGTGCTCATCTCAGGGACAGGGATGGGTGCTCAGCTCAGGGACAGGGGTGGGTGTTCAGCTCAGGGACAGGGGGTGGGTGCTCAGCTCAGGGACAGGGGTGGGTGTTCAGCTCAGGGACAGGGGGTGGGTGCTCAGCTCAGGGACAGGGGTGGGTGTTCAGCTCAGGGACAGGGGGTGGGTGCTCAGCTCAGGGACAGGGGTGGGTGTTCAGCTCAGGGACAGGAGTGGGTGCTCAGCTCAGGGACAGGGATGGGTGTTCAGCTCAGGGACAGGAGTGGGTGCTCAGCTCAGGGGCAGGAGTGGGTGCTCAGCTCAGCTCAGGGCAGGGCAGACACAGCTGGGACCACGGGTCTCTCAGGGGCACAGCAGAGGTGGAGAAGGCTCATAGGTCCTACCTTGTGTTCACAGGGGAGTTTGGTGAGGTGTGCAGTGGGCATCTCAAGCTTCCAGGCAAAAGGGAGATCTTTGTGGCCATCAAGACCCTCAAGTCTGGCTACACGGAGAAGCAGAGACGGGACTTCCTGAGTGAGGCCAGCATCATGGGGCAGTTTGACCACCCCAACGTCATCCACCTGGAGGGGGTGGTCACCAAGAGCTCTCCAGTCATGATCATCACTGAGTTCATGGAGAATGGCTCACTGGACTCCTTCCTGCGGGTATGAGATCTGGCAGTGTGCAGCTTTAGAGGCTGTGCTAGCACAGAGAGGATTTGGGGGGAAGGTTCCTTTTCCAGTGGCCTTCCCAGCCTGCCCTTCCCTGTCACTGGGGCAGCTGCTGCATTGTGCAGAGGTCTGTGTTCTGGGAACAGAGCTGGGGGTGACAGCACCAGGGCTGTCATTTCTTGTGTGTCTGTCCACTCATCCCAGCGAGAGGCTGCACCTGCCTGCCCACAGGTGTACGTCCAGACTGACCCATGGACACCCATGGAGGGACAGTCTAACACAGCTTTAACCCAGCAGGACCCCACCTCCAGCTGCTCTGTCTAAATATTTCTAGTTCTGGGTTTGAAGTGGGTAATTGACTCTGTTGAAGGGAAGTAACCTGGTCAATGGGAATAGATTGTCCCTTCTGAGCTCTGCTGTGCAGGGTGGGTGCATTTTGAGGTGACAGCAGCTGCCCTAGTGGTGCCCTTGGGATGTGTGAGGTGACTCCCAACCCCTGTGAGCTCTGCACTCCCCACCCTCCCTGGGAGGGAATGTACTCATGGCTTATCCTGCCATGGGTGTGGAAAGAGGCTCCTGGCCTTTCCCTGGGCTGTGAATCCGCTCCTGTGACCGGTGTCCGTGTGTCCCTCAGCAAAACGATGGGCAGTTCACGGTGATCCAGCTGGTGGGCATGCTGCGGGGCATCGCCGCGGGCATGAAGTACCTGGCAGACATGAACTACGTGCACCGGGACCTGGCTGCCCGCAACATCCTGGTCAACAGCAACCTGGTGTGCAAGGTGTCCGACTTTGGCCTCTCCCGCTTCCTGGAGGACGACACCTCCGACCCCACCTACACCAGCGCTCTGGTAATGCTGCTCCTCAGCCAGGGAGGGCCAGGGGTGCAGGAAGGAGGGGGAGAGGGAAGGAGGGACTCCCCCTTGACAGCAGGGAGCACTTTTTCAGGGTGTCAGCAGTGGAAAGGTCCCAGATGAGAAAGAGCAACAAAATAAACTGAAGAAGATTTTCCCTTGCAAGGTCCTGTTGAGCCTTCCTCCACACATGTCCCTGAAGAGCCCTCGGCTGGGATCATGCTCTGCACCTCCCCGTATGATTCACCTGGGATCCTTTGAGATGTGACCTGCCCTGACAGATTTGTTGCCAGGGCAGCAAGTCTGAGTTTCTTACCATCATTGTCCAGTCATGCTGCCCTGCTATCCTTCCTCATGTCATCTCACTGGCTCAGCCCCAAGAAGGATAGACTGAAAGTGTAGGAAGTGTGGGTGGATGCCAGATACTAGATACTGATCTTCCAGAGAGTATCCAATTTAAACAGAAAAACACTCCTAAAAATGACTTCATGTTCATGTAACAGCTTCCCAGGAACACTTTGGTGCCACAGACACAAGTGCCACCAAGAACTTGTGGCTCATGTCAGGCTGCAGAAGGTGCCCCAGGACCAGAGGATTATTTGGTTTTGCTCAATGAGAGCTCAGCCAGGAGTTCTCATAAACACCACACAGAAATGCTCTGCACAGTGCATCAGGAACAATGCCCACATCAGGAATCCTTGGAAATCAGTCTTGATAGAGCTGGGGCATGACCTGTAGGAAATCACCTCTCCTGGGTCTTTTCAAGCTGGCATTGATGAGATGTCTGGCATAGCTCTTAGCAAATTTTATCAGTAGCTAAATACCTAACAAACACCTGAAAATGTGTGGGTTTATTCTCATCTGTGTAGCTTCAGACATCAACTCAGCCATCAATGGTTTTTGCAAACACTAATAACATTTATTTTTCATATATCCCTTACAGCCAATTAAATTTCCCTTTGTTAACTAAATACATGATGTTTACTGCTGTTCTCTATCCCTGTTATGTTATGCCTGTAGCTTTTCTCTCTAATAATAAATTCGTCATCCCTAATTTATTCTCCTTAAACTGTGGGCACTGTAGCAGGATATTTATTATCCCTAATGACAGATTATGTGCACCTACTGTATCAGAAGTATCTTCCTCTGCAAAATGGTTTATGTCATCATTCTCCCAGTGACCTTGTGTCCATGGGTGAGCAGAAGTCACAAGTTCTGGCCTGGGAGGTTTGTGCTGAACCTTAGGGAAGTCTTTGGTGTGGTGAATCTCCAGGTCAGACCCCACAGAGATGGGAGGTCTTGCTGAAGTGAGTTCCCACAAGAATCCTCCAAATTCAAGTTTCTACTTTAGGACTTCTTTTTAGCCATTTTTAAAAACCACTGATTGCCAGGAGTTTTGCCAGGAGTCTGCGTGATGGAGAGGACATCCTGTTTGGTATGGATTGCTTCGTCTTCTCCTTTTGTGGAAAACAATATTTTGTCTGAGGTTTGTGGCTGTGAAAAGATTAAGAAACATTATCTTTTTTCATTATTCTGGCATGAACTGGGGCTGAGTCTTACGAAGTCCTGAGAGACCCTTAATAAGACATGGCAGTTGTTCATTGACAAAATATAATGTTTTTTAATCTTCTCACAGCCACAAAACACAGACACTTCTGCTTATTTTTTCAGCACAGGGGAAGATTTTCCCTTCAGAAGGTCCCTTGAGTGAATGGCTCAAGTCCAAAGCCCCTGGTAGAAAATCAGGAGGCAGGAAGGGCTTAAGCAGAGCCTTCAATCCCTGTGTCCCCATTTGTGTGTGCCACTCCTGTTCTTAACTCCTCAGAGGGAGTGGAGAATCCTGATTGCTCCAAGCTGGATGATAGAGACCCCAGTGCCCACCCAATCTTACCCATTTTCCACCAGTGACCCCCTGCCCATACTGAAGGATCAGAACCTGCTAGATCAGGTGTAGATCCACAGACAGACTGGGACACCAGGACTCAGGCCAGAAATGGTCTCTTGCTGACTTCAAAGAGTGGAAGCTGTAGATGGCTGAAGAGGAAGGTGCTCTAATTCCCTTTATTCTGTTCTGCAGGTAGCCAGGTGACAGCAAAAGGATAGAGGGAAATCAGTTTGGGTTTTTTACATTCCTAGCCATTCACTTCCTGCCAAAGACCCTCTTAGCACGTGGGCATTTTGCCATGCAGAAGCAGAAGGCAGGGAAGGAGCTGGCCTTGGTTAAGGTGGTGACAGGGAGACTGATGGGACACCGCTGAGTGACCTTCAGGGCAGTAATGAAGAGACAGAGCCAAACTCTTTGCAGTGGCACCAGATGATGCAATTAAGGGGTCATAGACAAAAACATGTCTGGGGAGGTTCAAGGTGTGCAACAGGAAAAGCTCCTTCCTCAGGAGAGTGGTGGGACAGGTCACCAAATGGGAAGAATCATCATCATCTTGAAGGCTTCCAGCATGGCTGGCCAATCCACATCCACCCTGAGGGACAGACAGTCCTGTGCTTCCTTCCTTCTGGGATTTTACTAGAATATCCCAGGCAAATATTGTGGACACTGCTGTTTTTCAGTTGCTCCTGCTCTCTCTGTTACCATGCTGTTTTTGCCCTGCAGGGTGGGAAGATCCCGATCCGATGGACGGCACCTGAGGCCATCCAGTACCGAAAGTTCACCTCAGCCAGTGACGTGTGGAGCTATGGAATTGTCATGTGGGAGGTGATGTCCTATGGAGAGCGGCCCTACTGGGACATGACCAACCAGGATGTGAGTTCTTGGGAAACCAGGGGCAGGAACACTGCAGTGTGGAGCATTGCAAGGCCAGAGCATGTCCACAGCCTGTCCCAGCCTGTGGTGTGTCCAGAGCCTTCTCTGTTGTGGCAGATGTGTCCAAGGTCAACACCTTTGGAAGCAGTAATGGGAATAATTTTGGGATTTATTCTGGCCCCGTGGTGCTGCTGTGGCAGAGACTGAGGATGGCACAGCACGCAGTGCACAGGGTTAAGGGGAGCACCCCAGGGGTGTTGGCAGGTGCTGAGGAAGGGAAGGAGCAGGTGGGTGAAAAAGGAGATGTTCCCGAGCTGAGAGCCTCTGGAGCAGAGCTTCATCTGCTGGGATCACAGACACTCCATGAAAATGTGTTACAAAGCCACACAATGGCTTTGGATTGGAAGAGACCTTTAAAGATCATCTCCTTCCAACCCTCTGCCATGGTTAAGGACATCTGCTAGATGGTCATGAAATCTCCCATGGGAAGCTTGCAATATGGTCTGTAAGAACCACAAGTAACTTAGACACAGCTAGAAACCAAAAGCACAAGGTACTTCATAACATGCTCAATTTTAAATATTTCATTCCTCTGCTCTAATTCAGGTCAAACAGTTACATGCACTCCTTGCTCCAGGGATGTTTTTCCTGCAAGGATGGCCCCTGGCTGCAATCCCTGCCCTCAGCACAGCAATGCCATTTCCATGCTCCCTGGTCCTCTTGGTGTGGTACCTGGGGCTCAAAGCCCATCTGGCCAGTGGCAGTGAGTGCTGTGAGGATGCTGCACCTGCATGTGTGTGTCAGAAGGCCACTTTTAACTCTGTCTCTCAGAACAGCTGCCCTTCCTCACATCATGAATACTCAGGATGTAACACCAAGGTCCTGGGTGGACCTAGGGGATGCAGAAAGCTTGTCCTGGCTCTTGCAGTATCTGCCTGGCTTCCAGTGTGTCTCAGAGCAGCTCTGGGGAGTCCCTTGGAAGCCTTCAGACATGCACTTCATCTCCACCATGCTGTGGGCTCCTAAGGCCTTGCCTTACAGGGAGAGAGCGAGAGCTCCCTGTCCCTCCTGTCTCCTCCCTGACTCCTGTCCCTGCTCCTGTCAGACCTTTTCCATCTCAATAGATCTCCATCTGTGCCACATCAGGTTTCTCCAGAGTGGGGATATTTCCTCCCTAATGCCTGGTGGGAAATTTATTAATATGAATTCCTAAGCCTGGAGCAGGGGGATGATGCTTTAGAACTTCTGGCTGTTCACAGCCTCTGCTACACCAGGAAAATGTTTCCATCAGTTCTTGGAGGCAGAGGGAATGGGACTTAAGGGTCTGCCTTTCTCAGCAAGGACAATTCCCTTCCTGCTAAGCCATTGTTGTCACCTCAGTTTCAAGCATGTCCTGCACCAGATGTTCTGTACCTTCCCTGTCCCTTGTCCTTCTCTGGGAGCTCTTCCCTTGCTTGTTTCTCCTGCTATGGCTGCGCTGCTGCGGCAGCACCGCTCGCTGTGCCAGGCAGAGCTGTGCCTGTCCCTGGCACCTCCTGCCCCCCTGGGGATGGCAGAGCTGTGCCTGTCCCTGGCACTGCTCACTGTGCTGTGGATGGCAGAGCTGTGCCTGTCCCTGGCAGTGCTCACTGTGCTGTGTGGCAGAGCTGTGCCATCCCGGGCACCTCCCGCTGCGCGTCGCTGTCCCCAGCCCCTGCTCCCTTTCCGTGCCGCAGGACACGGTGCCCCAAAGCTGTCACCACTTAAGCACAGCTGGTCCTGCTGTGGAGGAGCGTGGCAGATATTGAGGGCAGATTACCCTCCTGACCCTGGGGTGTGAGCGCCTGGGGCGGCGGCTGGGGAGGACATGGAGAGAGCTGGGGCTGCCTCTGGATGAGGCTGACATGGAGAGAGCTGGGGCTGCCTCTGGATGAGCTGACATGGAGAGAGCTGGGGCTGCCTCTGGATGAGGCTGACATGGAGAGAGCTGGGGCTGCCTCTGGATGAGGCTGACATGGAGAGAGCTGGGGCTGCCTCTGGATGAGCTGACATGGAGAGAGCTGGGGCTGCCTCTGGATGAGCTGACATGGAGAGAGCTGGGGCTGCCTCTGGATGAGCTGACATGGAGAGAGCTGGGGCTGCCTCTGGATGAGGCTGACATGGAGAGAGCTGGGGCTGCCTCTGGATGAGCTGACATGGAGAGAGCTGGGGCTGCCTCTGGATGAGGCTGATGGCAGCAGGACTCGCTGGGAACAGAGAGGAGTGCTTGGTGTTTGCATGGTGCTGGTGCCCACCCTGTGCCTCCCCTGCCATTGGCCAGGGCAGACCTGAACCCACAGAGCTGGGCTGGGGCTCAGCAGCCCTTGGGAGGTTCCCTGAGCTGCACAAAGCACATCAGTAGCCATGAAATCCTGGAGGCTGGAAAAGGCCCTGAGATTACTGGGTCCAACCATCAATGTAGCACTGCCACATTCACCCTAAACATGTCCCCAAGTGCCACATCCACACACCTTTTGAAGTCTTCCAGGGATGGTGACTCCATTTCCCTGCACAGCCTGTTTCAGTGCTTGACAAGCCTTTCCCTCCTGTCGAATCCAAACTTTCCCTGGTACAACTTTAGGCCATTTACTCTAGTCCTGCTATTTGTTTTCTGGGAGACGAGACCAGCACTCCCCAGCTCCACCCTCCTGTCAGTGATTTGTAAAGGAGTTACTTCTGGTCAGACCTTCACAGGCCCCATGGGGCCATGTCCAGCCAGGGCAGCAGAACTGGGGGAGGGCTCTTCCATCTGGCAAATTTTGGCAGCAGCAGTGCCAGCCCTGTGTCTCAGGTCAGCCTGCCCAGCACCTTGGCCACACACAACAGTGCCTGCAGCATCTCCCAGTCCATTCTCTGCCTGGAGCCACAGACCACCTCAAGCCCTGCCAGATGCCCATCTCACACTCTGGATTGTTTGGCATGGGTCAGCCACCAGCTCTTCCCTGCCTCTCTCCCATTCCCATTATCCTTAATTTTCTCTGTGTAGTCTCCCTACTCAACAATGTGTCCACCACCACAAGTATGTCTAGACTTCCCCAGGATGGGGGCACAGCCCTAGGGAATCCCACCAGGAAGATCTCTGTCTTTGGAATTGTTCAAGACATGGCTGGATAAAGCCATGGCAGCCTTGATCCCATGGTGAGAATAGCCAGAGACATGGAGGTTCTTCCTCAGGATCCCTGAGGGAGGTTCTGGCACTCTTCCTTCCCTTGTTCATCATTCCCGTGGAGACTTTGTCATTTTGAGATCTGCTCCTGATTTCTGCAGTATCCTCAGTTCTGGTTTTTGTCCTTACTTCTGGGTTTTGTTGCCATGCACGAGCCCATCTCTGGTGTTCAAGGCTCCTTCAGATCATCCTGCAGTGCCTGTGCTGTGCATGGCCAAGGAGGCAGGAGAATCCTGCCTGTGCATGCCTCTGTGAGAGGAACAGATGTTCCTGGAAGAAGTGGAGCAGCTTCATCCTCGTTTGTCACCCAGGAGAGGACTGAGGGCTGCAGATGCAGAGTGGCAGGGAGGTGGAGTTCCCCTTGAAGAAGATTCTCCAGCCCTTGCTCCATTCCAGAAGATCCTCCAGCCCTTGCTCCAGCCCTTATGGACATTGCAAGACCAGACATTTTCCCAGACTGTGTGGAGCAGTAAGGATTGACCAAAGCCTTTTTGGATGTTCCTGGAGGTGCAATGTGGCTTTGTCAAGGTGTGCTGCAGCTCTTCTGTGCACACTGCAACGAGTTCTCCTGGGCTGGCTGTGCTGGCTGGGGTCTGAGTCCTCCCCGTGCTATTTTGCACTTGCACAGGCCTGCAAAAAGATCCAGCAGTTTCTGCTGACTGAGCCACCCACGCCTGGCACAGCCCTGTCACCTGGACAAGCTGGTTTGTGTCAGGAGCACAAAACACCACTGGGGGATGGAAAACCCAGGGACAGGCTCCCTGTCTGTAACTCACCCCCCTTCTTTGGATGGAGATGTTTTCCCAGCAAGCTGTTGTGCTGAGTCCAAGGAAAGCATGATCCCATCTCCGACTCCCCTGCCTGCAGCTGTGGGATCACACATCCTGTCAGGGCAGCAGGGGTGCTCCTTTCCCCAGATCAGGAGACTGCTCCTGACAATCAGCCACCCAGGCTGGAGGACTGAGCAAAGCTGGTGGCACCTCCCAGCACACCTCACACCTCTCCTGACCTGCTGAGGGCTGGAAGTTAGAGTGTGAGGTGGGGACGAGATGGGAAGGCAGCAGTGAGCACAGGCTGCAGGATCAGTCATGTCAGTCACCCTCAGGGTCCAAGAAAAGGCACATTATGAATTAAATAGGTCTTATCACAGCTGTACTGATGCCTCTGTCTCTTCCTGCAGGTGATAAATGCCATTGAGCAGGACTATCGGCTGCCCCCACCCATGGACTGCCCAAATGCCCTTCACCAGCTGATGCTGGACTGCTGGCAGAAGGATCGGAACCACAGGCCCAAATTTGGGCAAATTGTCAACACCTTGGATAAAATGATCCGAAATCCAAACAGCCTGAAAGCCATGGCACCTCTCTCCTCTGGGTATGTGTCTCTGTCCTTTGGCTCCTCTGAACAGGGCTGGTGTCCTCTGGGTCCTGGTGGCACCATCCCTGCACCTCTCAGGAGCTACTTTAGAGCTTGGCCTGTGTTTGATCCTTTATAGGGAGAGCATTAAAAGATCATAGAATCACGATTTTGGGTGGAAGAGAACTTAAAGCCCACCTCATTCAACCCCTGCCATGGGCAGGCTCAGCTTCCACTATCTCAGGTTGCTGCAAGCCCATCCAAGCTGGCCTTGGACACTTCCAGGCTTGGGGCATGAACAGGGATACAGATGTCAAGGTTCCTCTCCTTGGGCAGCTCTGGTGGGCTCTTGGACAGTGCACTCTGCACACAGAGAAGCACCTTGCTTTCATGTACATGGGGATGATGGGATGCTGAGATTGTTCTGGTATCCCAGTCCCACTGCACTGGGAGCAGATAAAGCCCCTGAGGCAATGTGGAGTTTCCCTGGGCTGGGGGGATTGCACCAGCTTGTGGGAAGCACTGCCCCTGTACAAGAATGAGCTTTCTCCCGGTGAGCAGCCAGGATTTAAAGCTGCATCCCATCATCTCTGATGGCTCCTGCCTCTCCTGCAGGAGCTGGTCCAGAAGGGCTTCCCTGATGCTCTGCACAGTCCTTCCCTGGCAGAACAGTGATTTCTGGGTGGAATTCCACACTACAGGGCCGTGTCTGCACTGTGAGTGATGCTGATGCTGTGCCTCAGCTGCCGGAGGGTCAGGAACAGTTGTGCTTGGCTGTCATTGCCCATTTCTGTGTTTCAGGATGAACCTCCCCCTCCTTGACCGCACAATCCCGGATTACACCAGCTTCAACACTGTGGATGAATGGCTGGATGCCATCAAGATGAGCCAGTACAAGGAGAGCTTTGCCAGTGCTGGTTTCACCACCTTTGATGTAGTATCTCAGATGACTGTAGAGTAAGTGCCCAGGCTTTGAGTCCCAAAGCACAAGCCAAAGTCCCAGCAGTTTTGCAACAATTGGTATTGAATTAGATTTTATTTTCATATGATGTAGTTATACTTTTATAGAATTGTTGTTTTGTGGAACCACTTCTAATCTATTCAGTCTCCAGACCATGTGTCTGTCACTCTGCACCTGCAGAATTCCTCTCCCCACTACCACTCTGTGAAAATGAACACCCCTGCCAAGGGTGTCCAAACCCCTTCATGGGACAAACTGAGATTTCAGGCTGGCATCAGACAATTCTCCAGAGCACCTCTGAACTCTGCACTCCTCTTGGATGGCTGATGTATTGATGGAGACAAGCATGGTGCAAAGTTCTGCCTAAGAAAGGCAGAATCACAGAGTGGTTACAGTTGAAAGGGACCACTGGATGTCATCCAGTCCAGCCTTCCTGCTCAGCTTCTAGAGCTCCTCACTCAGGATTACTTCTGTGGAAAGAGATTTCACACCCTCTCTGGGAAGTCTGTTCCACCCCCACAGTAAAGAAGTTCTTCCTCATGTTCTGGTGGATCTTCCTGGGCATTCATTTCTTCCCATTGCCTCTCCTCCTGTTGCTCTGCCACATGGAGCAGAGCCTGGCTCCAGCCTCCACCACATCTCCTCACACACCTCGATAAGATCCCCTTGTGGGGAGTGGTTTCATTCTGTGCTGCATCCACTAAAAATGTCCTGCATCTACAGAAGTTATCCTGCAGTGACAATTGACAAGTGACAATCAGCACCTGATCCTTAGCAAGTTCTTCAGAGAAATCAGGCAGCTGAAATCCCACTTCTGGAGGGTTTTGAAATCCCTTGGGGCTGGCTATGACTTGGATGCCTCTGCTGAAAGATTTGTGGCTGGCTGCAGGTATCTCTAGAAGCCCTCAGAAAGGGCCAGTCATTAGAGCCATCTGTAAGGGCTGAAGTTTCTCTGAGCCTGGTGACCAGGGAGGTTTTTGGATTTGTGCTTAAATCCAAATGCTTAAATCCACCAGTGAGTCAGAATCCATTCACTCAAACAGCCACTGTGACTTTCTCTGGCTTTTTGTTCTTGTTTGCTGCTGGGAAGTTCCCATGGCAGCTCTGACTGTTTGGGGACATCGGTGGTGCAATCCCCAGGCCCTGGGGATGATTTTGTCACAGTATTGGCTGGGTTTATACAACAGAAAGAGAGAGAGTCCACAAAATCTGAAGGGTAGGGAAGAACTTTGATCAAAGAGAGATATGAGACCACAACCCACCCCTGCCTGGGTCCTGCTCTTTGCAATATCTGACAGCAGGCAGGATGCAGACAATCCAGCTAATGCTGGCTGTTCTTTCACAGACATCCTCAGTGTCCCTTAAATGCCAATTCTCCCAGTCCCTCACCATGTCCCTCAAGTCCTCTCCAAGAGCCTTCACCACAATTCCAAGGGCATCCTCAGCTCATGTCCCACTGGTTTTGGCAAACTTCCATTCCACATTCCTCACCTGCTTGGCTGAATGTACAATAGAGAGGACAGTCCTTTTTCCTTGTAAAATTGTGGTGTAACAGGACTTGACACCCCTCCCTGATGCTCACTGGCCTTTGCAGAAACTGATAGGAATGTCAGTGGAGCTGCTGGTTTATCCAGATTTGGAGAGCCAGCAAAGTGTGAATGTTTCCTGAAAAACTAACTCAGTTCCCCAAATCCACATGGTCTCAGCACTGACCTGCTGGAAAGGGTTCTCACTGGTTTGTCTGCAGGCTGGGACACCTGGGACACCCAATTACCTTTCAAGAGTCACAGAACCATTTGAGTTGGAAGGGACCTTAAAGCTCCTCTTAGAGCCGTGGGCTTTAAGACACTTTCCACTATCCCAGCTTGCTCCAGACCCCATCCAGCCTGGCCTTGGACACTTCCAGGGAAGGGCCAGCCACAGCTTCTCTGGGCAGCCTGAGCCAGGGCCTCATCACCCTCTGAGCAAAGAATTCCTTCCCAATATCCAATCAAATATTTAGTGTCCAGGGCAGAAGGCTTGGAATCACTGGGCTGTGCAGAGCTGCAGTCTTATTCTGGTTTACAGACATGAGTGAAGATTTTTTTCCACCCTTTGGAGCTCTCCTTTACCCTTCTTTGCCCTATAACCTCCACTCTAAACATGACAAAGATTTTGCCACTCTTCCCCTTAAACCTCTGTTCCTAACACTCAAGGACAAAAGGCACCTGAAATTCCTTCCAGTCAGGTTTGGGTCATGTAGCCTCCCATCCCCTGATGGGAAGAAGAAGATCTGAAGATTTCATGACTGAGGTTTATTTGCCAAGGGGGAGATGAGAGCAAACTCAGCTGGAGACACAGACAGGACCAATTTAGTGCCACACTCATGCTCTCGGCATGACTTTGATTTCTCTCAGATCTCTAAATCTATAAAAAATAGAAGCTGTCCAAAAATGAGATCACCATGATTTAACAAAAGGATAAGTGCAAAAATTGATCACTTCATGGTCTTATCAGCTCAAAGGAAAAGCATCAAGAACAGCATCATCTGCATATGGGGGTCAGATCTCCACTGAGGAGGGGCAGCACATCCCTGTCCTGTGTCTCCAGGGGTAGAAAAAAACAGGCTAGTGTGTCACAAAATGAAAGAAAATCCAAAATGCAAAACAGTAGATGGGTAAAAAATTTAAGACAAATTGACTCATAAGCAGAGAGCAGAGCCTGTGGCATTTTGTTTCACACTCTCTGTTGAGGTTCAGGACTCTGAGGGTGCTGCAGGTAGGTAGAAAGTGCAAAGATGGGACAATAAGCAGGAAAAAGTGAAAGAGTAGAGATTTCACAAGGTTTGCATCTGTTTGTTGCATTCATGAATGAAATCTGTGAATACTTCAGCTCTCTAAATACCATTCTCATGGACTCATAGAGTCAGGGAATCATAGAATCGCGGATTTCCAGAATGGTTTAGGTTGAAAGGGACCTTAAAAATAATTTTAAATACCTTCTATGCTCTTGTTCTGCTTTGAGAAAATATCTCCTGATATTTGTTTTTGTTTCCTTTCCTCCCAAAGGGACATTCTGCGAGTCGGGGTCACTTTAGCAGGACACCAGAAGAAAATTCTGAACAGTATCCAGGTGATGAGAGCACAGATGAACCAAATCCAGTCTGTGGAGGTTTGATGGCTGCCTGTCCTCCCACTCCTCCTCCTCGAGGCCCTGCTCCCCTTTGCCCCTGTATGTCCAAGCTCCAGTTCCTGAGTGTTCTGCATGGACCAGAGACAGGCAGCTGCTCTGAGGATCACGGCAGCAGGAGGGAACACCCTGTCCTCAACAATGAGAAGTTGCCAAGAGCTTCTAGAATTTAAGCAATGGAAAAAGGGAACAAAAAAAAAAAATACAATTATTTTGAAAAAAAAAACAAAAAACAAACAAACTACAAGATATTTTTAAATAACAATAAAGCAATTGCATTCTTGAAAAGGGCTCCAAGACCAATGGGAGTCTCCAAAGGAAGAGAAAAGAGCAGCTTCATGTTTCCTCTTGCACAAGGCTGATGCAGCTGGACCCAGGCACCTCGGGAGCAGTGGGACTTCTCCAGGAAGAGGAATGCAAGGAAAGGCCACGAGAAGCACATCTCTTCCTCCCGTGGCTCTGGGAATGCTGTGAGCCAGGCCCTTCCCCAGAGCCCCTGTGAGCAGATCAGAGGGGGAGAGCTGAAGCTCTTTGGTGCTGTGAAACCAAGTGCATCTCAGAAACTGATGGACTCCTTCAAAAGCTGAAGACTTTTTTTTTTAAAAAAACAAAACAAAACAAAACCACAACAAATAAACTAAGACTAGAGGAGGCTGTTTCCGACAAATGAGAAGGAATCTGTAACGCCTGAGGGGGTGGGGATGGGGAAAACCAATCCTTTTTACATCTCTTATTTTCTCTTGTCATGGAACAGTTTTGTGAGTGACAGTTTCCTAAGGGTCCGTCCATCCACCCTCCAATGGCATCGTGTCTCATACATATCATTGCTCAAGACTTTAGTGATATCCTTTCTAGATGCCAATGATCTTTTCCCAGAAGACTTCCCAAGTACAGTATGTAGTAGTTTTTGATTACAAATGCTGACGTGTACCTTTATTTTTCGGTTGTCACTGTTGGGAGATTTGTCCTTTTACATTGTTTTGTTAACATCAGTTTGTGAGTTTGGGGTTGGAAATTTTCGGTTGGTTGGGGGTTTGGTTTTTTTTAATGAAAAAGAAATGACATCTCCAAGCATCATATCATCCAAGAACTTAAATTCCTTCCCTGTGGAAGGAAAAATTGCAGCTTATTGACCATATGCCAGGAGAAAAAGGTTTTTTATATGCACATTTCCTCCCGTTTGCTTATTTGTTCTTTCCAACTGGTCGTGGCACGACAGATGTTTGTGGCTCTTGGGGTTCCAGGTGTTTGCCAAAGTGAAATGGCCACCAGCTCAACTCGGGGGTGAGCAGCATCACAGGGGGGTTGGGAGGGAAGTGTGGGAGGGTGGAGGGGTTTTGTGAGGGAATGATGACTCCATAGGTGGCTTCAGAGCCCTTTGGAAGTGTCTGGCTGCTGAGGAAGGTGTTGGATTGGTGCATGGGAAAGGCAGGGCAAGCCCAGCCCTCTCAAAGGAGCTCGTGGCTCAGCATTTTGGAGAGGGGATTGTGTTATCTGCAGGTGGGGATGGGTCCCTGCAGGTGCCCGGCTGTGCAGGTGGGCTCTGTGCCTTGGCACCCTGTCTCTTCCTTGGGTGATGCAGCTTCAGGCTCAGCCCCTCACATCACAGAGAGCCTGGGACAGCAAAAACTCCAATCCCTGCTCTCCAGAGGCAAAATGCTGTGGGTGAAGCTGAATGATCAATCGATGGGGTTTGTAAATAACTGAGAAAAAATTCCTTAGTTACTGACCAGGTCTCTGGGGTGTGTGCATGCCACCAGCTGAGCGCAGGGAGGTGCAGATGAGAATCGGGTTGTTCTCTGTGCCCAACACCACCGTGCATCCTTTGAAGCATTCCACAAGTGGCATTTTCCCACCCATCTCCTGGGCATGGCCTCAGGACTGGTGTGCACAGCCCTTATCTGCCATGGCCATGTGGTTCCTGGGCTCCTCCTCTTGTTTTTGGCAGCAGTGAGTGTTGAAGGCACGTTCACTGGGAGCTGCCTGGCTGTGTTTTCCAGGAGCTGTATCCAAGAGGAAGTGTGTCTGCTGTGGATGAAAATCCCAAGCTGTCTAGACCTCTGTGGCCAGACATCATCTCCCCAGACTGCTTGTAAAATATGAGGCCCTTTATGAAATACTTCTAGCATTTTCTGCTGCCAGAGCAGATCCAACAACAGAGCCCTTGTGGGTGGCATCAGAGCAGTCCCTGCAAGTGAGACTTCTCTCCTGAGCTCTTGCCCTGCCCCAGGGTTAGGCACTCCAGCCCAGGGCCTTTGCAATTGTCCCTCCAGCCCCTGTTAATCCAAAATCTCTAGTGCAGTGTTGTGTTGATGTTTGCACCCAGCCCAGCCCTGGCTTTGCAGCTCTGGGCTTGGCTGTAGTGATGGGAACCTGGCAGGAGGTGTGTGCTGGGTGCCAGGATCCTGTCCTGAGCTCAGTGCCCACAGGGCAGCCCCTGGCACAGCCCCAGCATCTCCCTGCATGGCTGGCAAGTGGCACAGAGTGGTGTGGAGAGAGGGGCAGTGGGCTGTAGGCATGGGCTGTGCAGGGGGTACCTGGAGGGGCAGCTCTGCCCCAAATCCAGCCTGGTTTAGCCTGTGTGTCCAAAGGAATGCACCTGCTCCTGGTCAGGGCTCAGCTTTGAAGGGACATAAAAAATTACTGGAGTTGGCTAAACCACAGGAAGTGTTTGCAGAGGGCACACAGGGCAACCAGGAGCTCCTAGGAGTGCCCAGTCCCAGTGTGGTGTGGGAGCCTCCCCTGGTGTCTGTCCCACTCTGTGGCTGCTGTGCTTTGACAAGGAGCAGTTGTCCCTGCCCCAAAGGCATGCGAAGCTCTCTGATGGCAGTGCAGGGTGAGGGCAGGATGGTGCTGTGCCAGTGTCCAGCACAGCCAGGAGTGACCTCGTGCCCCAGAGCTCTGCCAGGAGAGCTCTGCCCACAAAACCCAATAGCAGATTCCTGTGGGGCAGCCGTGAGCAAGGAGCACGTGGTGCCCCTCGCTTGTCCTCCCCAGACAATTCCTGACTGTTCTCTGCCACCCCCTCCACTCCTGCAGACACCAAGGAGGAGCAATGCCCAGGCATCATCCCTGCAGAGCCACCCAGGCCTTGGAAGGGCACTTCAGGTCTTCTTCACTTGGAGACATTTTGTCTCAATGCACTGAATCTCCTCGCTGGCTGCTTCAGACACATCTACCTGCCAGACCCAGCCCACTGTGAAGGACAGGTCCCAGTGCCACAGCCCCAGAGCTGTGGCAGCCATCTGCAGGACAAAGCACATCCTTGTCTCTTCTTCTGACCAAAAATCCCACGGTGGTGGTGGTACTAAAAGTAACACCTTCCCATCTGTGTGTACCAGACACAGCTGTGACATCTGTGTTTGGCTGTGTAGGACTAATGGAGAGCTGGGCTAAAACAGGCATGGTCCAGAAAACACTGCAGTTTTCTGCATCCTTCAGCTCTCCTGGGAGCACAAGGAACCGAGTTCCTGTCAAGTGCTGTGGTTGTAAACGCCTCTGGCACATGCTGCAGAGTGAGGGCAGAGCACTGGAGTGACAATGACATTTTTATTTCATGGGTCTCCAATGTACTGCTACCAAATGGGAGTCTGATGGAAAACTGGGCGTGTTCCAAGGGGAAAAGGGGAAAAGGCACTTGCTAACATTGACACTGTGAAATGCTGTTGTGCATGTGCATGTGTGCATGTGTGGGTACGTAACAAAAATCATCACATGGAGATTTTCAGGCAGCTTGTTGCAATTTTCACATTTCCCCTGTACCTTTCAAGCTACCTCCCAGCCCTTCCCTTCTCCCCTTCCCATTTCCTGCTGAGGATCAGCCTGTGGATGGCATTCAGTGGGAATGCTGAGCAGCTTGGAAGTTCTCAGTTGGTTGGACAGTGATAAGTTCAAATCTTGCAGAGCATCACAGGGCAGAGCAGAGGAAGCAAAGCATCTGTGGACAGTAAAAAGTTAAAATATCTTTTGTGGGTCATTTCCAGCTGTTGCCACCAGCCCATTTGCTGGAGTTACAGCCGAGGGCTGTGAAGGAGAGAGGAAAAACAGCCCTGTAAGACACAGCAGTGCCATGAGGAGTCACTTGTCCTGATGGCTGTAGGGACACAAAGCAGGGCACTGTGAGCTGTATATTCCCTCCCTAAAGGACCTGCTGTCCTCCCCAGCAAACCCTCAGAACTGCCTTTCATGAATTAGTGGGGATTTGTGCTTTTCAGCAGCTGAGCAGCTGCTCCTCTCCATAGCATCCTCACTGCTGAGCAGCAGCTCCCAAAGGCAGCAACCCGTGTTGGGGCTTCCATTGCCCCAGATAAACGTGGCTGTCCCAGGGTTCCCCACTGCTGCAGGCTTCCTGTAGTGTTCTGATCCCAGGGCGGGCTGGGACCCATCCCATGGCCCCACTGCAGTTGGACAGCAGGGTCAGCTCATGGGCAGGGCAGGGACACAGCAGAGCTCCATCCCTGTGAGCTCTGCCTTGCCAGATCAGCCCACAGGGACTGCTGGCTCCTGTCAGCCTTCCCCAACCCAGGATCCTGCTCTGTGCCCTGGCTGGTGAGCCCTACCCAGAGCAGCTCCCTCCTGGCCTGAGCTGAGCTGAGGGACCTTCATCAGCACCAGCCTCTGGCTGCACTGCAGGGCTTTTCCCACACTCCCTGGAGCTGTCCTTGGAATTTGGGTTGAAGGAAAGGTTCTTTCCCAGGAATCCTCACCCAGGCTGTGGATTAGCAGTGGCCTGTAGAGAGAACCTCTTGGAGGGTTTGAGCAGCTGAGGAAACTTCTTGTTATATTTGCCAGGCTGATTTATATAAACCCTGGAGTCAGGGCTTGAACTCTGCTGCATCGTTAACAGTTGTATCCTCTGATGATGCAATAAATCTGGGACTGCCTTGGATGTACAACAGAGTCCTGGAAGTGTCACTGCTGTCTGGTTTGGTTTAGTGGAGTTTATTGTTTTAATGTAAATCATCTTCTTTCCTGCATGTCTAACTCGAGGCTGATTTAATGTAGGTCTTTTTCCATCCTCAAAAATGTTACATATTTGCAAGTTCTTCACATACAGGATTCGACTTTTTTTATCTACAGTCACGTTTTGGCTTTTTTTTATTGAAACTTGTTCGGGATGTCTTTGCTTCTTGTAATTCTTTGCCCTTCCCAGGACACAACCTTGGCCTGTGTTTGCTTCCATA